CATTATTTGTTGGTAAGAATAGGAAATTTCGTTGTGTAATATCGGTCAGAGAAAAAACTCGAGAAAATAAGATACATTAAACAAATTTTAGATAAATTTTATGTTTTCATGGCTAACCATTAGAAAGAGAGTACCAGAAAAAGTCTGAAGTCTGTATTGAAGTAGACCATGCTCGGTTTCAAGTACGTCAATAAGCTGTTGATTTATGTAGACAAGCTTGGAACATCGCTCTATCATCAGAAAAAGAGTTAGCTCACTGTTTCGAAAGTCATGGTAGATATGCCAATTTTTTTTTGCGGTAGCAGATTTTTGGTATCTTCTCTACGTATATCAAGTTAAATTTGATGAATGAATATATTTTCATGGCTCTATGACTGTTATGCTGTTGTTCATGCATAATTGGTTAATAAATGAGGCACCTTTTTATTCAGAAACATTTGTACAATAAATCGGTAACAAGTCGGCAAGAAAGTCTTCTAGTCAGTTCGAAGCGGCCGCTCAGTGAGGTGGCACGATTTTATCTCTCATTTGACGAAGCAAGAGACGACCGCCCCTCTCAACGAAAAGACTTTCAGAGCGGTGGCGGCCCGCGTCTCAGTTTTTAGCGACGGTACACATCTCTAATGTGGAGAGTCTCAATATTAAGAAAATACGTACCAGAAGCAGTGGAATGTATTTTTCAGGATTCTCGATTGAAAAAGACGAAGTACATTTCAGAAAAAGGAAAGTACTTTTTTTCAGAAGCGAAATCATTCCTCTAGAATGTGAAACACATTCTTGGTCATTTTTTTAATGAATATTTTCACTGGAATTATTTATAATTATGCTAGTTCATTTAAGTTTCTCAAGAAAAACTTCCGTCGGGTTGCAATTTTTCTACATAAACTGATTATAAACTAATGTAAAGTTTGTGAGTACTTCAATATGTGTTATACATGAATCTAAAGAGAACAGCAGTTAGTAAAACGAAATGGTTTGTTTATGAATATTCATCAGTGTATCTGATGAATCGACGGATGGGAAGTTATTATGTTTTTCATTAACATCTTCATCTGTGCCATCGTTTGAATTTAAAATTCAGGTGACGAAGAGTATTTCACAGCACTTAAATGAGTTCGGTGCAATTAATATTTTCCTGTGAAACATGTCAAGCATTAGAGTTGTAGCGAATAATGAATACTGACAACGTTGTCTCCTTCTTTTAATTATTTTAGTCCTTGTGTGATGATGAAGCCATTAATAATGATTGGCTTCTATCGCATAGATAATTTTTGTATGAAATCAGATACAATCCTTTTGCTTTTAAATACACTGTTAGTACACGATTGTTTGTAGGTCATTTTCAAATATGATAACATCAATTTTTGTTCGAGATTTGAATTTACCTTCACCAAATCATCGTTTTTCTTATTTCAACCTTAAAAATCCTACTTATAGTTATCTTCTCGGTGCTTCTCCATAACGATGGCCTAACATGTGAACATTCCTTACGCATAACATGAAAAAATGGATTTTCCTATTATGTTTGTTCTTAATCTATTTTTTTCGAAAGAACAGAAAATTTGAGTCATTTCCACAACAAAAATTTATTGTTAAGTGAATTATCATCTGTTTTTAACTTAGAACTATTTGAAAGAGTATGTATGATAGAGATGATTTGAACTATATGAGTAGCTCATTCTTTATTATTCATGTTTCTAATAACATCACTGTCTTTGTAATGAAGACAATGATACCACGTAATCAATTAAAAGCACATTACGAAGTATGGCTTTGAGAGCAAATCGAATGAATTACATTAAATGAATGGCTATCCTTGTCACTATTAGGTTATTGACAACATTTCAATTGGTTCAACCGACTACCTCGTCAGAGAAATAATTCTTTTATCTAACTCATGAAGATCGGTCGATTAGATCTTAATTCGAATAATATTCAAAAAATTGATATAATCGTCTTTTCTTGAATTAAAACTCTACTATTTTCACTAAATAGTTGAATCTATTATAGAATGAGTCTATTAGGCAATGACATGAATGAACAATGCTTTCTTTTACAATTATCATGTTTTTTCTAATGAAGCATTAGAACATTGCTCTATGATAAAGAATATAAATGTGAACCCTTTCATTTACTCATGATGTTGAATTTCATAAGTATAACTGAGGAAACCATTTACTAAAGATTCATCGACCATGATGACATATTTCGCCCTCGATGATTCTAGTATTCGAATATATGATGGTAAATGTGTTCGTTCAGTCGTCCGTCTATTGAAGTTTGTTATGATTGGCTGCTGAACTCAAACCAATAACATGTATTGTTTCGCAGTACTTTATCCACATTCAGTTATTTGAAAAAGTTTTTCAGTTTGTATTCAATGATAAACGATTATGTATTGTTCATACTCCTTGTATTAGTGAATAAATTACTATTTAAATACTTGAACGATATGCCGTTACATTTTCGAATTATTATCCATTGTAATTAATGTATAAGAACCATGATTCTAATTATAAAACTTCTCAAATAGAAGAAAAATAGTTTCAAACGAATCTTTGTTTAATCAAGAACAGCTATTAGTCATAGCATATTAATATTTAATTAATAACTATTTTCTTGTCACTATGCTAATTTTTGTGAAAATTAAGTGAATTTCTTTATATTCTAGATGGAATCATCGATTAATGCATCGCCTTTATTAAATCATGCAATTAAAATACGTGGAAAAAATGTTGAATTAAGAAAAAAAATTACATTATTACAAAATGATATACAATTAATTGAAAAAGATATTTTAACATTAACAAATACATACGATGATCTTGTTGAACAATGTCAGATCTTACGAGAAAAACAAACAGATAGGAAAAAAGATTTGTTATTAGAAGAATACCAAAACAAATTTAATGATTATATTCATGATATTGAAAATTATTTAAATAATAAAGAATGGAATATTTCTTCAATTGAGAAAACAGATATTTTATGTAAGAAAAAAAGCTTGTAGATACAAATTACAGATTTATTATCTATAAATGAAAAAAAAGAATTAGTAATTTGGATTTTCATTAGAGAAAAATTCTGCTATTACGCATTTCTCTAATATATTCGTATCAACGAAATTCCTTGTACAAAAGATATTTGAGTCATCTTAAAAATGTACGCTTCTTTAGATAATTTATAAAATTGCATATTTTCACCTTAGAATTATTCCATATGACATAAATCTGTCTTTCCAAATGAACGATTGAAGATTAGTTAGTTGATGCTAAAACTTAACCAATTTTGATAGTCAATTGTATTTCGATACTACTTGATATGAGAAAAATAGATCATTATATAAACTATGCCTGCTTAAGCATTATTGAATTCTCTCTTGAAGCTAATATCCGAAACTATAGAATTGAAAATTGATTTCTAACATTATTTATCGTCTATGTAGAAGAGTCAATTATAATAAACAATTCAAAATCAAGATGTTTTGCCTAAATAAAACACAAAGAATGTTAATATGACCTGGTTCAATTCGAATTCGGATACCTATTTTTTTTAGTAACTCAAAATGGGAAAATAATTTAAATCTGATCAGCTGATTTGACAACTTATATACTCATAGTTTTTCTTTTTTAGCACCAAAACCATCTCCATCTGTTGAAATTGATACTAAAATCGAAGAATTACCAGCTCAGACCTTGAACGATGATCTTAATCAACAATTAGCATCTGTAGAAAATTGGCTCATGGAAAGTGCTATTACTGACGTTAATAAACAATGTCCAATCATAACAGAACATCAAAATACAAACGATGGAACAGATGATTTATATCAAGATTTAATATTTCCAACATTAGCTGATGATCTTCCAACACAATCAGAAGACATTCATTTTGATGAAAGTAATCATCAAGAACAATTTGTTACAAAAATATCACCAGAAAATTCTAAGCAACAACAACAACAACAACGGCCAGATAAAAATCAACGTCGATTTGCATTGATGAGACAATTAGCAGAAAAATCAAATAAAACAGTAACAAGAAAATTAATATAGTATAATAACGTTTGAACTGGTATTTATCGTGCAGATAATCTTTTTTTTATATTCAATATTGATTCAGATGAACATTTTTATTTGATATTTGCATTTTATCGTTATTTCGTGCATAGAAATCTTCTATACGCCAAGTAATATCCATAGATGATGTTATAGGATAACTAAACTTTTCATCTGGTGCTAATTGTTTTCGTAACTTGAGATATGTTTGTCGTCCAGTACTGTAGTCTATTTGAGAATTATCTCCTGTTACTCCATGGTAAAGCAAATGACCAACAGTTGGTTCAACAGGTAGCATGATTGGTCGTTGAAGTGGCTCATTCATATTCCTATTAATAAACAATAAAACAATTTTGTGTTTTCTAGTTCGAAGAAAAAGTCGAGACGATTGAGATAAAATGATCTTTTATAAAAATTCATTTGGAAAGACACTGTTTCCACTAGAGATTCTAAATCTCCTATATAGATTTCATATCTTCAATTTCACTTTCATTAGGGTTAGAACCATGATTATTACTCTCTTCTCCTCTTTCTCATGCATCTTGGGAATATAACAGACAATACCGGGTTAGTTTGACTAAATCATTAATTTGTTTGGATTTCATATTTAAGCTTTGAGTATGTTTTCTTTTTTCATAGAGAATAAATTCTTTCAATAAACTCGATCTATTCATATAATCCCATTGTTGCCAAGCTAATATTAAATTAGTTTCATATGGCAAATATTGTTTTATATCATTATATTTTTTCCACCATTGACGTCGAATTGTTTCTTCTTGTTGAATATTTTCTTTCATAATATTTTTCAAAAGCGCCTTTTGCAATTTATTATGTTGTTTAAAATATCTATTTTGCGGACAATTTTTTTGTTTCTTTTTGCCATCGAAAAGGAAACGAATCACGAGTATTTATATTTTTTTTTGATTTTAGATCATAAATATAATGTATTCAATTATTGCACGACATTTCAAAGTACAAAGAGTTTTATTTGTTTTCTTTTTGATTAAACTCATTTTTTTTGTGTGTTATTGAAAGATGTTAGCCGGTCAAAGTTTAACATGTCGAGCATCACTACATGTATCTGCTAAAAATTTTTATCCTCTGATTCCAATGGTTATTGAACAAACGGGACGTGGAGAACGTGCTTATGATATCTATTCACGTTTATTGAAAGAACGTATTATATGTGTTATGGGTCCAATAACAGATGAATTAGCGAGCGTAATTATTGCTCAACTTCTTTTTCTTCAATCGGAAAGTTCAAAAAAACCAGTTCATATGTATATCAATAGTCCAGGTTTGTTCATCAATTATTTCAACCTTTCTCAATTGTCAGATCATTGCAGGTGGAATTGTAACTGCTGGCCTTGGAATTTATGATACCATGCAAGTATGTCAAAATTTAATTATTTTAATATTAAAACAAATGTTTCTTTTTCTTGTTTTTGAAGTATATCACACCACCAATTGCAACTTGGTGTGTTGGTCAAGCATGTTCAATGGTGAGATGAATTAAACGAAATGAGAAGAATCCAAATAAGTCTTTTATTCTACCAGGCATCACTATTGTTAACATCAGGTACACATGGTTTACGTCATTCATTACCAAATTCGTATGCATAAATTGATCAATATAAAATACAGAATATATTGTCTTTTTTTTCCATTTTATAGGAGAATTATGGTTCATCAACCATCAGGTGGTGTACAGGTATTTCAAAGAAATCTTTTTTTCTTCGCTTTAGTTCTTTTAATTATTTTATAACAGGGTCAAGCAACAGATATAATGATTCATGCAGAAGAAATTCTAAAATTGAAACGACTAATCAATAAACTTTATGTGAAACATACAGGTCAAACATCTGAAGAAATTGGTAATGAATTATTCTTTTTTGTTGGATGTATGCGACACGTTTGTTTTTTACTTATAGAAAAGCTACTTGAACGTGATCGATTTTTTGATGCAGAAAGTGCTAAAAGTCTTGGCCTCATTGATAAGGTTCTTGAACATCCTATCCAAGATATATTAAATGAAAGTGAGAAAAATCCTAAAACAAACAATTAATTCATATATTGGTTATTTTTCTTTTTGATTCTATGTTCAAATTTTATGTTCTGAAGAAAAAAAAAAGGCTAAAAATAATAAAAAATAAAATTTAACACTAATCAATGTTAAGTAGACGATAAACATTGGTATTATTCGTCTTTCTCATTTAAAACAAAAAAATCAATCATTCAACTGAATACTTTTGTTTCTATGTTCTCTATTGAGTATGATAAATATATGTATTAAGTTGATTAGTTAATTGTCCAATTGTTGTATTTGGCCAAGCACGAAGACATGGAGTATTTGTTTCAAGTTTAAATGAAACAACATAACCAGTATAATTTAATTGAATTGTTTCATTACATAAATATGATGGTTTTATTAAAGTATTATCAGGTGTCCATTGAAAATAGTTTTTTATTGGATTATTAATTGAAAAAAAAATTGGTGTCCAATTATAAACACGTATATGTTGATTAAATATATAATTTAATTGATAATCATATTGAATTGTTGATAATATATAATTTGATGAAAATACTGAATATGTTGCTAATGTTGTATTTGTTGGTACTGGTATATGATAACAAATACCATCAAAAAGAAAAAGATCTTTACCATAACATAATTCACATGTTAATGTTTGACTTGACCAATATTGAGTATAAATTAATGGACATTGACAATAATTATTAATACATACTAAACTTGATAAACATTGTTGAGTATTATTACATAATGAACCATTATTAAGACGTGAACGACAAATTGTATCATCCCAATATGAATTTATATTACATGTGCATCTTGAATATGTATTATTACATATTAAAAACACTGAGCTATCACATTGAAGATTTGTCAAACAATATTCACCATATGTAGATAAATTCGAACAAGCATAACCATTCCATGATTGTGATGTTGAACATGTACATACATTAAAACTAAATAATTGAAAATATTATATTTATTTCATTTGAATAAATTAATTCATTTACCTGCATGTAAGACCATTAATACATTGACTTGTTAATGTACATGATTGAGTTGCATTAAAAGATAGTTTTGAATTACAAGTTGTTTGATTGTAATATGAATTTGATGAACAATCACAAGTATTTGTACTAGTTGAACATGTTAAATATTCCATACAAAAATCAGATTGGGAATTACATGATTGACCAAATGTAAGACGTTCTTGACAACCGATACCGTTATAGTACATTCCTGATGAACAATCACAAAAAGAGCTATTCCAATACATATTATCTAAACAAGCACATCGTTCTGTTATTGTACTACAATAAAGACCTAATGAATGATCACATTCAATAATAGGAGATGTTGTAATTGAATCAATAGTACAACTATCGTTATACCATCTCAAATAATTTATAGTTACTGATGATTTTTGTAAAAATGCGACCATAAATATTATAAATAGAATAATTAATATAAAAAAATAACTAAACCAAAATATACGAACATCTTTTCTAGGTTCACAGCAATAATATTGAATATTTTTCCATGGTATTTTATTTTGACAAAATTGTATACATTTTGAGTTTGATTGTGGAATAGTTTTATTTTCTATATCATCTGTCATTGTATATGTGAATTTGCGTTTTTATGATAAATTTGATTATGATTTTTTTTCTCTCAAGTTTTATATTGTCATAAATGAAACCATGAAAATGATATTATTTCATTTTTTTTCTATCTTGATTTATTGTTTTGAAGAAACTGATTGAATAACTTCATCATCGAAGCCTTTCAAAATCTTGAGAAAAAAAATAACAAACTTCAATACAAATCGTCTAACATTCAGAATATAGAACTATTCGATAGATTCTACTTTCACCTTAACAAGAAAATTGTTCTTAAGTTCATGAATGTCAATACTAATTAATTTGATATCAATTAATGTTTTTCTTTTTAAATAAAATCGCATGAAATTGGGTTTTTTCATGGTAAATCAGACCATTTTTAATTTATAAGAAGAAAGGCAGCTTTCTGTATTATTGTTTTCGAACAAGAAGAATAGTCTTATTTGTAGTGACAGATACACTCTAATGATATATAAATGTAAGTTGCAATTTGAGAAACAATGTTGAAGATAATTGTAAGATTGATTGTGTTTTAATAAAGATAGTTTTCATTATGAAGGTAATTGTTTTTAATAGTTATAATCGGCACGACACTTTAAATTTAGCGAAGATTCATCCTCTTCTCAAAGATTATATGAATCAAATAACAAGAAAGGATAAATAGCTATGACAGTATATGAGAGAGACTCATTCGTGTTTTATCCAAGGAAGTGATTTTACTCTATATTGAAAAAGAAAAAACATGCGAATAAATAGGTCAAGTCAAGAATTATTCAATTCATATTGTGAATATACATCGATTATATTGTGAACAAAATACAAACAATGCGCTGTTCAGTGTTTAGACTGATGAGCTGTAGTCACAATGCATAGTATTCAAGTCACAAAAACAAATGCAAGATTTTATAACGAGAATCTGTTTTATTCTTAGCATAAAATGTTGGGAAAAAATTACATTTTCAATCAGAAAATAAAAGCATACATGCCAATCAATATCAAGTATTCTCCACAAAACTGCTCTTCAATAAGTCTGCAATGTGCTATAAAAAAGTTTCATCCATAATTATTTTCATCTTGTTTATCTTCCGGTAAGTAAATTTCTCATGAAGCTTCTAGCAAGTGCATCGGCATCATCATTCCTCATTGCATTCATACTGTGATGGTGACCTCCATTATGAAAGCCATGGTTTGGGTGATATTGATAGAATTCACTCTGAGCGGGTTGAAAGTGTCCACCACCATTATTTAAATAAGCTTGCATTTGAGCAGCTACGTTATGATAATGATTGCCAGTAGCGGCACCCATACCAGTTGGATAATAACTCATTATGGTTTTTTTGATAATAATGAAATGTAAATGGAAGATGCACTTATTCGGAAACTTCAAGTTATGTTATCCATGTGATACAACATCGTAATTTATACATACATGTAGAGACACGAGTGATTCATCAATATGAATGCAACATGAAGAGAAAAACGAGGGAAATATCTGTCGTGACCTCTTGATTTTGTGATATCATCAACTATCGAAGGTGGTTATCAAATATCGCAATTCGTAAATGTGTTTGTTTTTAATGTTCCATTTTTTTTAATGAAGCAAAACGAAATGAGTCGGAACAAACCAACAGACTGTTGCAATAACAACAATCATTCTACAACACTTATTCATTAACAAGTGCATAAAAATAAAATAATAATAATAATAATAATAATAATAGTATTGAATTTTGTTGCTATACCAAAAAGCTTTTTTTCAATATTTTTGAATGCTGGTATTTAATTTTGTTAGTTGTTGAAAGTATAATATCAATTACTCTGAAAAAGAAGTTTATTTCCTATTGATTGATGACAAATTTCGAAGTTCATGTGAAGGTGTTCTTGCAAATCTCGTACGATAATAAAATGATGTTCGTCCTTGACAATGAAGAATACAATGTCTTATTTGTCGAATATCACTCTAAATAAAACCAAAATCAAAATAACAAATAGTCAATAATTTATTTATTTTATTCGAAAATAATTTACTCGAAAACGAATATTAGCAAAACCATAAATAATAGGATTGATAGCTGTATTTGATACAGTTAAAAAATGAGATGCTATGTAAAGGAGTTGAAGTAATGTTCCATGACTACAAAAGTTGTGATATTGTACTCTTTGATAACAAAGTAAGTTAAGACATAATTGAAACACATTCATAGGTAACCAAAGTACAGCATATAAAATAACAACAGTAAGTAACATTTTTATACCCTAGAAATTAAAATATAAAATATTCACGTAGATAATTATTTCATCATTTATTCATTTCATATTTTTGTAACGTGAGGTTTCCGGAAAATGTTTTGTCTCGTCTCATTATAAATCAGTGTTGACATTAATATAAAACTCATTATTTATTCTTTTGACCTAAGAGGAATAAATTTGTACTAAAAGTTTGAATTTAACATACATGTCAATGCTTAATAGAAATGAAGTCAAACAAAGATTGCATATCGATTATTTCTTGTGTACAACAAGTATTACAATTGATATGAATAATTAACAAAAAGTAGAGTTCGGAATTTACAAGTTTCTTTTTATTATTGCTTTTTTTGTGATAAACTTTGTTTTGTTTATGGTTTATATTCATTAGCGTAATGTTTTTCCAGGACATCTATTCTTTGAAATTTTATTAAAAACAAAGCTTCTGTATAATTATTTCATCAAATAACGAATTTTCATTTGATGAAGGATAATTATCTTGTATTTCCTGTTAGATTACTAAATAGAAAAAGAAACTGTAAATACTTCGTATGACATTGGAACTAAACGTGTTAAAAATTTGCCAACGAAGTAAAAATACTATTAATCAATGTCTGTTTGTTCTTTTTATCAAAACCCATACACGTTAAAAATATATCAGTGATTTAACTATGAAAAACTCGTATGATAACTATTTCTGGACGAATTAATTCTGCGAAATTATAGAAATAATCACCCTACATAAAGGATGGATGAAGACATAAGGCATTTTATTTCCGGAATGAATGTCTTTAGTAATAAATTTAGTTACATTTCGCATTTTGTATCGAAAGTATAATTGATGAAAAACAGTCATCATTGATATAAACTGATTGCCAAAAATATAATATATTGATGTAATTTATAGACCTAATGTTTTTCTATTTGTATGTCAATGTGAATATATAAATCAAGTATTCTTTTCTCTTCTATTTTCAGCAGTAATCTGATTAACCAGATATGACAAAGTAAAAGAAAATAAAGATCATGATCCGTAAAACAACGAAGAAAGAACCTATAAATTGCGTTCATAGCAAACATTAAGACTTTTTTGAAGACGGAAGCAGATTTTCAGCATTTCGGTAGATGTACTGTGAATTGAAAAAGGATTTGATTTTAATAAACAACATTTTTTGAAGCCTATGATAGGATTATGTTTGATAAGATAAGAAGGCTATACTATCTTTTCGATTCAGATGTCTTCTCTACTCTCATATAAAACCGTGCTCGTCATGTTTCTTTACACTATGTCAAATTCAATAAATTTTACTTGCATAGTTTTAGTACTAATTCATATTTATTCAATAAACTAATAATGAAACACTATTAATAAAACAGTAGTTCTGTGTCTGGCGATAAATGTTATTTTTAGACATGTTATGTTATTTTATCTATTGAAATTTTGCAAATATAGAAAAAAAGAGTACTTAGCAATTAAGTCAAATAAATCTGAATTAAATATTATTGCATCATCAAATGATCAAATAAAAAACAAATGTTTATGATTTTTTTTCTTTCAGCTCCTTCAGTACAAATAGTTCAAAATTTTTCCTATTGTTAGCGTAACCAGATAGATAGAATGTTAAAAACATCATAACGTCATCCAGCAAGAAACATAATTTAAGAGATAAAATCTCAAAAAAAAACATAAATATATACTCTGTCTTCCGGCTATGTTTCTTGTTTTATGTTGTTTTTTTTTTTGTCACATGAAGAAAATTAAATGTCCAATGCCAGTTCATCTGACAATAGTCAATTATTATGATAACATTGTTTCATTCCATGATTTATACAGAACTACGCACAAAAAATGTATTAGAACATTTGCAGTATAGAATTACTAGAAACCTTAAACTAAAGACTATTTCTTGTGCAACATAGAAATTTCAAGCTCTAGAAATAATTATTAATTTTATTCTCTGTATTTCCGATTCATTTTACTAACTTGAATTTAAAAAGCAATCTTACGTTAATCGTTATTTTAACAGAACTCCTGTATACTACATACTTATAAATATGACGTTAGTTTCATTCACCCAAGTTTTCTTAACAAAAAACCAAACATAAATACTTACTTGTTTTAATTTCTTTTTGAATTGTATGCTTTCATGAGTAAATAAATTATTTGTTATTATTGTTGTACCATTAAGATCATTATTTCCATCATTAGAACGCCTCCATAACATAGCTGCTATACGTAGATAAACAAAACCAAGAATAAATAATGGAAAAAAATATGTTTGTAAAAAGTTTAATATGGTTCGTCGAACTTCAACTGGTCGTTGATTTTTATTTGGTACGCATTGAATTGTATCAACAAGTTGATAATGTAGGCTTTTTAATAAATAATCTGATTTCGATGTATCTGTTACATTATCAATTGAACCAATATAACTTTTTAATAATGAACGAGAATTAACCCATAAACGTTTTTCTTGCATTGGCAACGATCTTGCTGGTGACCATAGTATGGCTAAAGCAATACTTAATAGCCATATAATTAATAATGCTATTAAATTTCTTTTATGTACAGAATAGATTTTAATTGCTAATGGATATTTGACAGCACAGTAACGATCAATGGCTATTGCTATTAATGTTAATAATACACCTGATACAGAAAATGTTTTAAAAACATCAAGTACAATACATAATGCACGTGGATATAACCAACGTTGAAATATAAGTGAAGTTATGGTAAATGGTATACAATAAACAGTCATTATTATATTAAATACAGATAAATTGAGCAAAAATGGTGATAATTCAGAACGTGAACGGCGACCAAATGTAAAAATAATTATGGCAATAAAATTCGTACAAAAAGAAAATATTACTATAATACCATAGATAAGTAATATAATAACTTCATATGTGTACAAATCCGATAATGAAAGATATGTTATCGGATACTGCAAATAGAGATCAATTAAAGGTCGTACTTTTTGTTCAACCATATTGAATCTTACTCTTTGAAATAAATTTAATCTAGAAAAACGATACATTTATGAAAGATTTTGATCAAAATTTCGAACAAACTATATTCACATTCTTTTAGTTTTGATTTTTCTTCTCTTCTTCTTTTGTTCATCTCTCGATTTTTTTCTATCTATGCTTTTTCTTAACATGCATATTCTAGTGTTCATATTATCTGAATGAAAAAGTTCGGTTAATAAACCATGACAAGTCAATGTGATGTATAATAAAACTTATCGAAGGATATTTATCTTTTTCTGAATATTTCTTCTATGAAAAAATATATAGATAAAAATACAATATAAAACTTAGAAAACAAATTTATCAATATGATGGCTTGGAAAAAAAAACGAAGGATTTTTTCTGAAGATATTATTCAAGTAGACAGCGAAATAAATTAAATTACCTTCATCGTATGAATGAATAGATTATGTAAATTCGAATGGTTGATAAAAATCATAAGTGTGATAATTACTTACTTCTTTTTTCTTCTTAGAAGATGTTTATTTTTTCAGAAATGTTATATTCGACTTTACTTGTTCGACCTATGATGATAGCATTAAATTTTATCCTCATAACTATAGAAGTGAGAAAGCAACATACTAAAAGAATATCTATAATGGTTAACATTATCCTGTTCATTATGAATGTCTTCTTCCGTTATATTCTCCAGTCGACATGATGCTTTGTGCATCTTTCCTTCCTGTTATATTACAACAACAACAGCAAAATATGGTTGGATAGATAGAGAATACTTTGCCTATGGAGAAAAGAGCTTTATATATTCTCATAAAAGCATTAATGAATACCCAGGTATTCTTATTGAAACTTAATAAATCAATACAACATTGTTTTTCATATTGGGTACTTTTGTTGTAGGAAAAAAAATTAGTCATACCCTTTTTTTTTTTGAGATAATTATGAGAAAAAAAGTATACACATAGAAATATTTCTCTTGGGAATATTAATCTTTTTAGTGAATGTCTTTATGAAGCTTGGGAAGGTAATGCAATCATTTTATATACACCTATTGTATGTTAACAAATTTGTTTCCAAAAAATGGAAATGAATATATATTGCTAACTGTTCATACTATGACACTTTGTGCGACATCATGAAAAGCATATATTATTTGTCTAATCCAATAAATCTTTAAACTTGACGTAGTCGTGTTATTCGATGTTACTTTGAACGTTGCATGTGTAAGAGATGATTTTCTCTATAAAGTAACATCTTAATAGAATTATATTTATTGATTCTCGTAATTGTAATTTCCCTTATATAAACTTATTTTGACAACTATTCTTGTCATGAAGAATACTATTGAAAAATATGCGTCAATAATAAAAATTCTGGCGTCAAAGGAACTGTCATGAACACTTATCAGCACACAAAGAAAAAAAAGAAGAGGAAAAAAAATTTTAAAATTCCTATCATTTAATATCATTTGATAAACCAACTATTCAATCATTAAATCGTTTCATCAGTTATCATTTATTATATACAATACGATTAACAGAATAGGACTTAAAATCAGATACCTGTTATTCATTCCTACAACAAGAATAAGAAGGTCCTATGTAAATATTTTTGGATAAAATGCGTTCTTCAGGAAGAATAAGGTACTTCTACACGTATCTTTTTGAATGAAATATAGCTAGATATATTTAGACGTAATGTGAACGTTTTGAATGTATTGATATTAGAAACATGTTTCCTGCAATTGAATATAAACGCGTTTGAACGCAGCTAAAATGTAACATCTGATGTATCTACATGCATTGGATGTTATATTTTAATTGCATCTGTCCTATGTTTGTTTTTGCATAAGTATTTTTATACTCAATAAATTAGGATTAAGCTAATACTCGAGAATATTATTGAGCAGCCTGATTATTCTTCAGTGATTACAAAAAAAGATTCTTGGTGATGCTGATAGAGTAATACCATGATGAGGTCAAAACAAAAGGAAGATTAGGAGATGTTTATAATCCAAATTCTTCCAAATCGAAAAATCCGAAAAAGTTCTAGCGCAAACTTTTGCACCAGTTGCAGCTATTCACGCCGCTCGTGTGTTTCTGAAAAAATACTTTCTTTCTATTCATCGAATGATTGATATAACTAAATACTATAAATAAATAGATATTTTCAAGAGTGATCATAATAAATTGATAAAAGTAATCACAAAAACGAAAATATTTCATGTGAACATTGCAATCAATCATGTTTGTAAAAGTCTTTTATACTGAAAAAAAACTAGCTAAAGAAGATCATTAAATGTTGTGCCAAAGTTTTCTTTAAAATATTCGATTGTTATTTTAATATGTCAATGTATAAATCAAAGCATATATTAACATTTAGTTTGCTTTCGTCAAGTACTAATGTCATAGAAAATTGGACTATTATGATGCAAATTTTCAAATACATTAGTGTCATTTACGTATTTGTTTTTTCTTCTTTTGACATTAGATGACGAATGCCATAAGATCGTCAACATAGGCAAATATTTTCCTCTATTTATGCTTTTGATAAAATTTGTTAATTACTACATTTTAAAAAAAATATTCTCGAGTTCTAAAAATCATTTTCTCTATATAGGCCGATCGGACTGAAAACAATACATTTGTGATTTACCCTTGTGGAATAGATATTAGTTATTTTTATGTAATTACGTGATTGACAACCTTATTTTCTATCGGCTAAGAAAAAATACCGATGTGTGATAATATAAAATAAATTAGCAACACGTCATTTATACAAGGCTTGACTGAATATGAAAAATAACAATTTTTAATATGACTAAAAAGCTGTAAATACTTCATGTCAACATAATCAATATTATTTAAAAAAAGAAAGACGTACTTTAAAATACTAGTTTGTCCTTATAAACAAAGTCTATTTAAACAGGAATTTTTATTGCATATTTGAGTAGACAAACTATTTCTGTTTGCTTCATATTATAGTCTGTTTTCTTTCTTAGTAATTAATGTGTACAACAAAATTTGACAACACCAGGAAACTTCTCAGAAGTTAATTATTCATCTAATACAAAAAAAAAACAAACTAGAGAGTAAATCCTATTAGCTTTTTTTTCTTCAAAAACCATGATAATCAATGCAGTCTTCTTCCAGTAATCCTATACGATATGCATAAAACAGAAGAAATAATAAATACATGACATTTTTCTTTTTGAGCTCTAACATACAATGTGATACTCGACTCAAATCCGATGAACATTATTTCATCCATCCAAGATGTTATTGTAAAACGATAATAACAAAACAAAAAAGAATTGTAAAATCTTACCATTTTACGCTTATTAAACAGAAGTGCCTATTACTATTAAAACATTACAACAAAGTCATTAAATAAATAGATAAAATGACCTAGTGAAGTGTGTAGCTTTAGAACAAATGCATGAGCCTCTATAGAAGCTCTATGCTTAATCTCTCATTACATGACAAGCATAATATCATGTTAAAAGTCAAATTAAATTTATGCGTAATATATGTAAAAGTTCATATTAACACATTTGTGTAGGAATTCATCAAACTGATAAATAATAGATCAACTAAGTAGGAAAATAAAACTCATATTCAAAATATTTAAGGTGATTGTCTCACAAACATTGTTGGTTTATCAGAAAATAACACTCAACATTGTTGAATATAATGAGCTTCCGATCATAAACGATACACATCATTATATAACGTGAAAAATACGAATTTATTCTATCAAGAAATGCGTGGTGTCATCTTGCAGAAAACTCGATAATTTACGTATCATTGCATGATTGCTTGAGTAAAGTCTTGCATATATAATTTATATGCATCACTAGACACTGACAAGATTCTAGCTACTATTTGCCTAACATATAGTTAACACTTTTCTATAAACTTGTACGATTATTGCTTCCAAGACACGTTCAAAATTTTCATATAGTCTAGCTTGTGTTATTGAAAGACTTACAAAATTGAATTTATTTTCATAAAAATTTTGATACTCACGCTCATTTATATGCAATATTATTCTAAATATAAAAATAGCGTGTAAAAAGACTTCCGTATTCATGCATGTTATACAATAAGTTGAAAAAATTCTATAAGAACAACATAATGTCTTGACAAATGTTCTGACTATACGCAATTTCTTTGATTTTTTTATTTAATATGTTTTTAAAATGAAACTAAATCTTATATACTTACAAAATCAATGATTACTTGGAATGTAATTCTGTTACAAAGTGGAGCAGTAAGAAACAGTAGAATGAATTATTTTATGAGTTGCACACGGTACAACTCAATCAGAGTTTTTCTATTACTTGTTCAAGGACATGAAATTAATTAAACATTAAAAAAAATAAGCTGCTTCATGTGATGCCTGAAAGCTCTGACTTTTATCACTTCCACATAAATGACTTCTATTTTTGTGAATACTAAGATACAGTATACCTTTTACAGGGTTGACTGAATGTTTTCAGTGAATGAAGACTTCTTTTATTTCTTAGATTTTCTAAAATTTTACTAATACAAAAATATTATATTTAATACTTTGGAAATTTCTAATTCTATTTATTTACTTCCGGTTGTGTACACATTGAATAAATCTGATGTATGTTCAGATTTTCAAAAAAAAAAAGAAGAACAGGAATAAATGGATTTGTAATCATCATCTCGATAATTATGTAATAATATAGATCAACAATTTTTTGAAATCGTAAGAAATTACAAAGTTTTTGGAATTATTGAGACGTTTAAGATAAAACTATTCTGAAACTCTCGAAATTATATTGTATTTGAGATCTGAACATTTTTGTTAGTATACTTATTTCAAATGGCAAAAAAGAAATTTGGATTGATCAAAATACTTTGTATATTTTACATTAAGTTAATTGTTCGTTCAAGAATTAATAGACGTAACAATTGACAAAGTCAAATAGCTAAAATAGAAAGTAAAAGAAATAAAGCATTTTTAGTGTTCTGTTATCAACTTTACAAGTTTACCTTCATTGAAATATTGAGTATTCAAAAGTTAGACTAAATCAAAGCTCAATATTATTATCATACGGCATTTCGATTTAGTGTTTTCTCAAGGAATCAATCAAGTTTTTAGCTATAAAAATATTAATATTTTAACATATGTATTCATAAAAAAAAAAAATTTCTTATGGTGAATAGAAAATTTAAATTATGTAAGTGCATATTTGAATTATTCAGAAAAAAGAGGTTTCTTTTCATAAATTAAAAGAGATGTTTAATAATCTTCAATGAGTTTCCAATGATATGACTAATACACTGCTGACACTATGAATAATTGACTTAACAACTACAATATTTGTTACAGTCAACAATTTCTCAAATACTCTATATAACTTTGAGCTAAATAGTTACTAATCATATTTCTTCAGTAATGATTTCGTAAAAAAAAATAACTACTCAGTAAATATATTATATTGCTCAAGGGTAAAAGCAGCACCTCACTATACTTCTGAATTATATGGCAATATAGAAATGTTAAAAGAATACTGAAAAGAAATCATAAGTGCAGAAAAGTACGGAAAGATAATATATTTTCTGAAAACAATTAAAATGTCGATTGTAGATAGAAAAATTTAGAAAAACAAATTTACAAAATTACGTCGATCTATGAAGAATGAAAAACTATACTAAGATATATGAGAATATTAAGAAGTACCAAAAAGAACAAAAGAATATGGCAAATTGCATGGAAGCATCACCAAATACAAGGAATATCAAATATGCCTTTTTCCGCTTTATATTCGTATTATCAAAAAAATCTTCTTCCAGCCTCTTCTCAATCTTTAAATTGATAAAGGTGTTGAGGCGTCAATATACGTCATTGATGGATTAATAAAATAGAAAATTATTTATCTTTTACTCAACTCTCAATATTTCAATGAATTTTTGTAGATAAAATTAAGAAACTTTATTCATTAATTATGTCATTTCTGATTTTTCGATAATTATTGAATTAATATAGTTAGAAAAGATTTAAACGTGAATACTGTTGATTCATTTCTGTTTAGTATCTTAATTAATTTAAATTAGTTATTTTCGCTATGTGAAATCATCGTTTCAATTCATACAAAATAATAATCTCATGATTTTCTTTAATTCTTTTTACAGGTTCCTTCTTGGTTTTTAAAATATTAGGCATAAAATTTTTAAATTAACCCTAATTAACTGATACTAAAAGAATTTATTTAATGAAAAAGACAATCAACAATCAATCAATTACCATGATGAATCGACAAAATAATATCTACTTTTTTTTCCATGTTTGAAAAACTAAAAATTTGCTTTGATTGTATCGTCATCAGAAATGAGAACATATTCGTATCATTCATTCAGTTAGCCGATAATAAATATGTCTGTAAACATCATCAAAAATGTGATGAATATATGGATCTGCTTTAAAGTATTTTTTTTTTCTAATAGGCTTATACCTAACGAGTAGATGAGTTCAGAATAGAGAACGAAGAAACATATGTCTATGCCAAGTAGCTGTCGTATTGGTTGTATACTTATTAAGAGAACAGGGAGTGGACAAGAACGCATTTCAGTCTCTTCTAATTTTCAAAAATACAAATTAATTGAGTCAGATATAGAATGAAAGATCACGAGTGCCTAATTATTTTGATGCCAAAATCAAAACATTTTGACTCGATCATAGACTTAAACAGGTCCATCTTCAAGTCATACTAAATACACAATCAGTTCGTGATACGAGCGAGAAATGTGAATTCTCGTCTGCCAGAAAAATAAGTAACGTTTTGAGTCTATGACTAGGTCGTATACCAATTTTTCATTGCTTTCATTTTGAGTTTGAAATACTCATATGCATTCTATTTATTGTTCGATTATTGTGCTAGTCAAACTTCCTCTTCAATTAATTCACTTCCTATTCCATAGAAATTTTCAAACACTAAAATATACACTACGTCTTATGGTCTAAAACAGTAAGCTACATGACAAACTTCTTAGTCCATTATTCTTGCGTCTCAAATTTTAACTTCTACAACGAATATCTGAGGGTTTTCAAGCAAAATAGTATCCACTTTACTTCAAGCAAATATCATATTTGGAGTCAGTACAAAAAAAGTCACTCGACTTATGTATGTTTCAAAGTTTCTCTGCAACTTTTTTCTCTGATTAAATTTTCACATGTAGTCCCCCTCAAGATTGTACGGAAAAATGAATTTAATCAAAAAGTCATTATAGAAGTGAAAAGCAGATTCTAAACTTGTAAAATGCTATTTGAAGACAAAAAGATAGGTGACTAAACAATAAAATAGTTATTTTAATTAAATTAATTTCTTCACACGTCGTTGAAGAAGCCTATAGTTGAAAATTTAATCAAAAAAAAAAATCGCAGAAAAGTTCAAAACGTACATAGATCAACACTGTTTTTTGTACTGATTCCAAATATGATATTGTAATACTGAACTAGGAAGTTTGATTATGGGGCTTACTATTTTAGACCATAAGATGTTGTGTATATTTTAGCGTTTGAAAATTTCTATGGAATAGAAAGTGAACCAATTGGAGAGGAAGTTTGACTAGCACAATAATTAACGACAAATAGAATGCATATGAGTATTTCAAACTCAACAATGAAAGCAATGAAAAATTGGTATACGGGCTAGTCATAGATTCAAAACGTTACTTTAAGTAAATAGTTCCATGATGAAAATGTAGCTTAAAAAAAAGAATTACGAAAACATATTTTCACCTTTATTTATTTTCCAGCAGATGAGAATTCACATTTCTCGCTAATTAGTATCACAAACTAATTAGCTATTTGGTATGACGTGAAGATGAATCCGTTTAAGTCTATGATCGAGTCAAAATGTTTTGATTTTGACTTCAAAATAAACAAGAACTCGTGATCTTTCATTCTATATCTGACTCAATTAGTTTGAACTTTGAAAAATAAAAGAGACTAACATGCAGGTGTTTGGGTATTTCCGTTCTTTGCTTGAACAATAATGATCTGTAAATGTGTCATACATAGTTGATTTCATTGAATCTAAATTTATTGTATCAGAACAAAAGTAATATGGAAAAAATATAAACTCTAGAAAAATGTATAAAAAAAAACATAAAAAAAGGATAGAATCTATAATACTTACCAGATATGTCTTTCCACAGCAGATAGATATGGAATTATACTTTATTATGACATATGACTCTAGGCTTTTCTTTATCTTAATGATCCAATCAACACTAAATATAATGAAAAATAATCTATTCATAGCTGCCTCTAGAAGCAATACTTGATAGGGAATTGAATATGCTTTAACAAAGACAATCAATAGATGTCTGCAATCATTTCGAAAAAGTAAAGGAAATAAAGAGCATCTGCTTTATAAAACACAATGCGAGCAAATAAAAAGAATAAGGGAAATATGCTTAATATGAGACATCCAGACAATAATGTTTGAGTATGCCACATGCTATTTTATTCGATAGACCTTTTCAAGTACTCTTAATATTACACCATCATCAATCTTAGTCTCATACTATCAATACGTTTTTAAAAGCATTCTTATAATAGTGACAAATGTCGAGAAAAAAAATTTAGGACGTTGTATTATGAAGATTGCCTTATGATCGTTGTTTGTAAAGTTTATTATCTTGAATGAGATGAACACAATATTTTCCTTCTATATTATTCTCTTTGGAAATTCATTATCAAAAAAATTTTTGATTAGCATTATTTTGTTTGTGGTCTATGTTGAAAAATATCGACAATGATATACAATGAAAACATAAAGGATTATCTAGAGAATATAGTGAAGAATGTTAGTGGTTGATCTTGACCTTTAAATTATTATCAGTAGAACTCAACTATATGATTTCCATTTAATCATGAAGTATACTACTCACTATTGATTTCAATATACATACACACGCGCACAAAAGAAATAAATTCTAATATATGGAAAAAAAGTTTGCGACAATTTTCCTATCGGTATAAATAGAAAAATTTCTGAGGACTTTTTTCAATAGATTATACCACAAGATGCAGCGTGAAAAGTTCTACAATATGCATAGAACATCTTATTTTACAGTTGTACTTTTTGTTTTCAAAATTGACAAATTTCTGAGCGACTAAATTTCGAGGCTGCGAAAAACTCTTTCTTTGGCACATGAGGAATGGATCTTTTCTTATTTAACACTTGATATCCTTTATTTAAAAAAATAAAATAAAATACACCACAAGATGCAGCGTGAAAAGTTCTACAATTTACAAAGAACAATTATAAAAAGATGAAATAAGAAAAAGCGAATTGACCTTGTACCAAAAAAAAATCGTTTTCATATGGTCGAAATTTGGTCGCTCAAAATTTTGTCTATTTTGAAAACAAAAAGTGCAACTATAAAATAAGCGACCTTGTGTAAATTGTAGAGCTTTTCACGCTGCATCTTGTGGTATAATTTATTGAAAAAAGTCCTTAGAAAATTTTCTATTTATATCGATAGGAAAATTGTCGCGCACGTTTTTTTTTCATACCTTACTAAAGTTTTCATTTTCAGATCAGATGTCACTAAAAGTCGACTTCATCAAACTATTGCTTTTCTAACATTTTTATTCTTTACAGAGGATATAACCAAGTATATCTATTGAAAACGGAATAAAATATGGTTTCAAGAGGGAGAGAAAAAAAAGAAGAAGAAATCGATGCCAATGAAAAGAGGATATAGTTGAACCTATTGAAATGTTTATTTTTCGAGAGCTCTTTTGATTTTTAAGTAAATTATAGTATACTTTCATTTCTTTTCATCTCGTTTTTTTCAGATGCAAGCTGTCACACCTATAGATGTTCATGTTGAAAATGAATGGCATGACAGTCGTCATAATGGATCATATGTTAAAAAAAGTACTTCAACAGTAAATCGTGGAGGACGTCAAGCAATTCGAATGCGTACATGCGTAACAAATAAAACAAGGCCTAGTAAAACAAAGTCTTTGCATATTCCTCAACAAGTCGTTCAACCTAAACAAGTTTTGCCTGCTCGTTCTCGAAGTCCATCACCTAATCGAGAACCCTGGTAAGATTAAAAAAAATATGCATTGATCAAAGTTTTGAATTTAATTCTATATAAAGGGTTCCACCACCCGGTCGATCAACAAAGGGACAAAAATTTGCTTGGCAGGTAAAATTTGTTTTTTACTTGAAATTCTTTGGATTTTTCTATTCGTTATTGTCTTTAATATGAATAGAGTTCAAAAGCGCGTTTAGAAATCAATCCCGTTATTGATGGTCTTGTTAATGACGATGTTGACGGTGAAAGTAGCCAAAATACTGAACGTAATAAACAAAATCTTCATAATCAAACAGCAAATATTTCAGCGGAACAAGATGAAAAACTTCAAGAAGAAATTCGTACATATGAAAAACGTATTCAAGCATTAATTGAAAATGTTGGAATGCTTAAGGAACGAGTAAATAGAAAATATATTTGAAAGGCTTGTTTCTTTTTAGTTAATTCATTTTTTTTCTTTAGGCACGAAGTCGTACTAATCAAGAACAAACAGATCAACTTCGTTCAGACATTAATTCATGTTTACGGGATCTCGAACAATCTCAAAAAATATGTAATCAAAGAACAAATAATATATTGTCATCACGCATTTCTCGTTCATCATCACCAATAAGGAATAATTATCGTTCATCGAGTGCTGATGAAAAACGAAGTCATCGATTATTACCTAAAGTATCTTTTGAAGATGATCCTATTATTGAAAGGTAGAATATATTTACATGTTGCTTTTGTTTTTTCCTTCTAACTGAGATTATTTAATTAATCTAGAAGACGAGCACGTAGTACAACACCAATACGAGGTCCACTTTATTTGAATCCAGATCGTGAACGTTTATTAATATCATTATCAGACTCTGAAGCTGATATCGCACAAATTACTAAACAATTATCATGTGTTAAAGATATTCTAACAAAACTTAAACTCGTATGTATTGACACATATCACTTAATCTTTAACATACTGATTATATTACAGAAAGAAAAGAAATATCAACCTTTTATTAGGATATATTTGATGAGGATGAAGTATCATATCTTTCTTGAACTTGAAATTTTATTTGGAAAATTTTCTTTATCGATTTCAAAAATTGTCATCTGATTGAATTTGTAAATAAATTATGCATTCAAACAAAAACACTTCAGTATAAAATAAAAAAGAAATATTTACTTTTTTTTTTTGTATACATACAAGTCAACGTTAACAAAATCGAAATTGACAATGAAATCAGAGTTGATATGTTTTTCGTATTGTTTCGTTTCATTCCTTTTTTCTGATTATGCGTCACCAACACAAAGACTTTTTTGTATGTTGTAACAATTAAATTGAGCGTCGTACACATATATATTGAGACATACAATGCAACAAACTTGACCGACTGCTGATGGCATGAGCGAAATTGAAGAGTAAAAGAAGAGAACAAATTTTTCATCATTTTTCTTACTTTCAATTTGCGGTTTACATATGTATTTGTAGGTATACATATATATATATATGCATAGAGCACTAGAAAATTTTTTTGACCGACTCTCCTAAAAGGCATAGTTTGACGGCAAATATTCTCTTACAATGTTTAGATATATTTAGAACTATGTGGAAAATTTCAGCTTTTTAGGTCTTAGCTGTTTTTGTATCTTCTTCACTTCTTTCAAACTACTAATTACACATCAGCTTCAATATGAGTCAGAACACTTACATTAGGAAGTCGACTTCGTAAGATGTTAGACTATTCATTGATTAATCAAGAACGTGAAATGAATTTTGACTGTCATAAAATACGCTAGTTTTACTTCACGTTGAGCTTTGTCCTTGATAAAAAGATTATTGTTGCATGTAAAATCATCATACAAAACTGTTCCAATGAAAGTTCCACGAATATTGAATATGCTGTGTAACTAATATGAAGGAAATGATTAAAAAAAACACAATCATGTATAAAATCTAAAAGATTGAAATTTTATACATAATTCTAAATATGCCGAAGCATTATAAGAGAATACTTGAATTCAAATGATGACTTTTCGGAGAGATGGACAAAAATACTTTTCTACTACTCCATGTATATATCGTTATCTGGCTTCTGTTTCATAGTTGTATAAGAAAAAAAAAAGAATTTATTTGTTAAATAGTATTCTATATATATATGTATCTATGTATATTAGGAACATCAACCGGTTTCATTTGAAGTTGAACAATTAAATCAACAACGTAATCAATTATTACGTTTAATTGAACAATTTGAATATTCAAACAATAAACTTAAAGATTTCATTCGTCATCAATATCATTTAGAAGCTGAACATGGTATTATTAATGACAAAAAAGATACCTTGTTAACACGTGTACATGAACTTCAAAATGAAAATGAACAAATAAGACGTCTTTTACTTGAACGAGAAAATGATAATATTGCTTTACAAACTGAATTTGAACGTGTAAGAACACATGCTATTGGTTTCGATACAATGAAAACATCATTAGAACATAATCGTGCTCATCTTCAACGAGAACTTTATGCAAAAGAAGGAGAAATTAATCGACTACAATGCGTTCTACGGGTATGAAATTAACTATTATCGTAATTTTATTGACTTTTATTAACGAAAAATTAATATTGTTTTTTTTTCATTAACAGTAAACTTCAAGACAGTTAAATATTAATTGAAAATTATAAAAGCGAATACAAATTGCACTTCTAAGATACAAGTAGTCTGAAAGAGTATATAGAATAGCTTCTTTTCTTACACAATATCTGGTTACAGACGTAGCAATAAGTAATAATCAAAATAAGTATGAATCGATCATGCTTATAGTCATTGAGTTGTTCTTTGACAAAGTTTAACATCACTTTTTGTTTAATTCTCTCTGTATAAATTAGTATCAGTACTTAGTGTCATTATTTTAAGTTGTTTTATGGACATAAGTTCTAGACGAAATATTAGATCTATGTCTTCAGTATACTTGACAAATATCAATGTCTGTCTGTGAATAAAAATGAAAAGAAACGAATACTTCATTCATTTATATATGTATTCTTTCTATAAAATTGTAGTCATTAGAACGTGATTTACAACGTAGTCGTTTTCAATGTGATAATCTTCAACGAACAATTAAACGTACACCTATGTTTCCTATTAAATCCTGTGCATCAGTACCCACTGTTGTTGCTAAAACTAAAGGAATGACTATTGAAAAATTACAAACACAATTAAATGATCGTGATCGTCAAATAGATGAACTCGAAAGAAAATTATATGATAATAAAAATGAACAAATAGTTGATACAAACTCTGAAATTATTCGTTTACGTACAAAACTTGAACATGCTGAACGTTTAGTTGCTGAATATAAAGAACAATTACATACTCAAACATTGAAAACATCGATTGATAATAGTAAAACTCATTTATCTGAAATAGAATTAGAAAAAATGCGTGTTCGATTACAAAAACGACTTGAAGAACTTGAACCATTACCAGAATTATTACGACAAGCTGAAATGAAAAATCAAGAACTTGAAACACGTATTCTTGAACAAGAAAAACATTTAGCTGAACAATCAGCTTTTATAACTGAGCTTAATTCAAAAGTAAAATCTAAATTTACAAGAAAAATATAAAATAAAATATAACAAATATTTCAATATTATTTCTTTAGACAAATGTGCAACATCATATAATTGATCGCATGAAAGAAAATCATCATTCATTCGATGATGATCATCGAACACTTCACCAAAAAATTGATACACTTCAACGGTATATCAATAAAATAAAAATTAGTTCTTTTTCTTCTATAAATATTAATCTATATTTAGACAATTGATTACATTAGAAGAAGACAATGCTACTCTATTAAGAAATCTCAATGCTAAAGACGAAGCATTACGAAATGCTCAGGTAAAGAAGAAATTTTTTGAATAAATTCTCCTTTTTCTCTTCATACTGAAGACAAGGAGAGATGATACAAGAGAACAAACAGAAACAGATCCAATAGAAACGATAAGAATTCTATGGAGATAATGTCAGAACAACTCTTAAAAACATAAGACTAAGAACAATCGATTACAACCAGTATATGAAGTCAAATAAATTCTCTTTTCGTAGAGAATTCAATTATATCTGCTTAGTAAAGTCTGTCGTGCACACATAATACGCAGCCTTGTCAGATTGTCAGTGTAAAACTTTCCTATTGAGCTGATCTACTTCTAAGACAATATTCGATCTTTATTATAAATGTAATCGAATTTTGTTTTTGGTTCCTATTCAATTGATTTCAAAAGAAAACTTCATTTTATTTTGAAAAAAATAGAAAATACGGAACAAAGCTTTTCTTTATTATGCGATCTGCATATGATTATCACCATAAATACCATAATGGACCCTGTCACACTCATTGTCAATCGGGAACTAGTAAGCTCTATTGAAAATACGAGTTCGGATCTAAAAAATCTCACTAAATGGACTCTTCACTTATATGAGAAAAGACTTCGTTGATTTTAATCACTGTTTTTTTTTTAAATTTAGTCTCGTCTCAATGCTAAAACACATGAATTAGCATCAATGAATAAACAAATTAATTTAACACAAACGGATATTAAAGCTCGAGAAGATTCATTTGGTTCTAAAGTAAGTATTCAATATAATTTAAAAAATGTCTTAGTTTTATTTTTAAATAGGAACGTGTTTTTCAACAACGTATAAATGATTTAGAACAACAAATATCAAAACTTCGACTTGAATGTACTCAATTAAAACGAGAAAAAGATGAACTTGAACGACGTTATACATCCCAATTAGGTGAATTACGTGATAGACTTGAACAATCAAATAATAATAATCGATCTATGCAAAATTATGTTAATTCTCTTAAAACAACATATGCAACTGTATTTAATGATACACTTCCACCACCATTTACAACAACATCTTTTACACGATTTACAACAACACCAAATGTATATCCTTGATGCATTTATAACTCAGGACACTCTTTTGTTTTTATTTCGAATTCTCTTCTATTTGTGCTCAACAAAAGTGATGATGAAAACAAAACAATTTTATGTATTTGTTTTTTAATCGAATTATTATAATTTTTGTTTTTGTGTATTCATATAATAGATTGTAGTCATTTTATTATTGTCATAGAGTAGAGTATTTGCGCAGTACGTATGAAAACCATGACAGTCTCTTTTTTTTTTGAAATACATATCTGAAAAAATATTTCTCAAAAAGAATTTTCACTATGAAGAATTCAATAAATTTGTAGTCTGTAATTCACTTTAATTGATTACGAGAGAGAGAGAGAGAACGTTTTAACAAAATAATTATTCTAATTAATACAAACTAATATTATTAATTTTGTTGTATTGATAGCTCAAAAATCTTATTAATAGTTTTTGATATTTAGAATTTTAATGATACAAACAAATTTACAAACGAAGTGTATGTTATGAGATAAAATACTAACGATTAGTTCATAATCACATTGTTGGCATTGTCTAAATAGCTTGAAAAAAAAATACGTAATCAACAATGTGATTTGCTTAATAATGAGTGGCATGTAATGAGACATGTTATGTGGAAATAACTCGCATGTTCTCACTAGTTTTTATTTCATGTTCAATCTGTGTTATGGACTGTTTTTGCGCAAAATTTAACATTCTATAAAGTCAGAGCCTACTTTAGAACTCTAGCAAGAGAGGATAGTATATTTCTTCAATTAATATGACTTTTGATAAAATGAAAATGTAGAAATTAAAGTTAAATTCTAACTCAATTGATTGGGAAACTTCAAACACTACAGATACACATTTTCTATGAAAAAAGTCGTATTATAGTTTTTCTATTTTATCAAGAGTATTTTTTTTTATCATTTAATCGATGACAGTTTGTAGTGAACTTTCAGAATAAGGACCCCTAAAATAAGTATATTGATATTTGAAAATAGAACAAATGGTTTTCTTGAACGATTTATTAATATAAAGGTAGAAAAGTTATTTTCAAAGACAAGGGTATTCAGGTAAGATAAACTACGTATTAACTCTTCACTGAAATCCCTCTTGAATACCGATAACTCATTTGACAGTTTGTTTCTCTAGATTTTGAATATTGAATTCATCCCGATGACCACCGTTACTATCAATTGTATAACAGGCATCGTAATCTGTATGGTCATATAATGTTTAGTTAAAAAACGGCTTATTTATCTTGTCAATATTATTTTGTGCAGTTTCAACTACTCTATTCATACAAGCCTTACTCATAATCTAAACATTTCTAACATTTCATATTTTGTCCCTCGCTTCAATGATTGATTGAGGAAAACAAACTCTTGATTCAGACCAACCAATTTTGTTCGATTGAAAGCTACTATAAGCAGTAGAGGAGCCAGCTTCCGATGTAATTTTATGGAATGCAATAAAATGAAATTGATGTTCTCTATTTCAATTTCAAACAAGGATATTTACTATCTTTTACTTCCAATTCAAATGCATCTGATGACTGTGGTATATCTTATCAAGTCTCATGTGTGTTTATCGTTATTCGAATGCAATAAGTCAATATGATCTAGTTTTCTTTTGTGACATAGTCAATCATCATGATTTCTCAAATCACGTTTGTGGAAAACCATCTGATATGATATGATATATAATTAAAAAGTAATTAATGAATATATCTCTAACCATATGAGAAAAAAAAACTCGAACACTTCAGGATACACTCTATGACGCGAACTGTATCTATGGTAAAATTTCAGCAAGACCAAGTTTCAAGGAATAACTTCTTCAAAACTACTTTCCAGAGATCTTCTCAAGTCTCGCAACAAATATTTTTGTCTTACCATAATCTAATGACTTTAGAGAAGGATTAGTACTGTTTGAAATTAATTTCAAACTTCTGATTCGGTTACAAGAGTAGTTTTTTGTTTATGTATTTGTACTCTGTCACGTTATTAATGAAAAGTGAATTGATTTATTCAAAAAGCATAGACATGTTCAGAAAAAACCTTGGATAGAGGTTTTATAGCCTCAGAAGTTGTGTAGAAAATGTACTATGAAGTTTTCAAAAATGCTGTCTGAATTCGGATTTGCTTTAGACTAAAACACTTCAGGTGAAAGTCTATGTCCTTTTTTTCGTGTCACGTCTCTAACGAATGGTTGTCAGATGAAAATAAAGTGTTTTTTTGAATTTAACTGATAAGAAAAGTAACATTCTTTTCGTGTATAGATACATTAACATAGAGCTTAAAAAAATTGTGTACCTTTAAATTGAAATGCAAGCGCATTCATTTTATTTGAATTTTGATTATTTCTCAATTCGTCATGGCATTTTTTATTTTTACACTAAGATTCTATTTTCATGTATAATGCTAGGATCAAATGAGTAAATATTTGTTAGTAATGGTGACTTTTAGAGTGCTAGATGCAAAACTCGAATCTTTTCATGGATGCAAAATAACTATAACAAAATAATTGATTCTTTTATACAAATATTTACTCAGCTGTTTTTCTTCTCATTAAAAAAAATTGATCTATAAATACAACCAATATTTGTCATCCAAAGTGCTGTATTAAGCTCGAAATATTTATGTGAAACGCTCATCAACAATAATGGATTACTTTTATTTATTAATATTATTAATTAATTTTATTCAAATTTCATCTACAACGAAAACATGTTATGGTCCTTATGTTACTGCATCAAGTCTTGAAGAATTACATCAAGATATTCACTTAGTTGAACCATTGCCAATTCATTGTGGTGGATTATCGTGTGAATTCTATTTAAGCCCAAGTTCAGCTTTAGGTTCAAATGGTCCATTAAGGTAACATCGAATGATATTATTAAAGCATGACTTGATTTTTATCTAAAATATATAGTGCCTATGGTCCATTAGGAATAATGGGTCCTATTGGACATTCTGTATGGAATCCAACAGCTTGGAGATTTCCATCTAATGAAATAATTGATTGGGCAACATCAGATATGTTATTTGGACTTTCCAATAATCCTCTTTCATCAGCAGGTCCATTATCATCAGATTCATATCATAAAAGTTTACCATCAATTAATGATTTTGGTAAGCATTTACAAGCATTGGGATTATGGGGCGCTTTAGGTCCTCTAGGACCATTAGGTGCTTTGGGTCCATTAGGTCCGCTTGGACCAACGGGTCCTCATAATACAATGAATTTAGAAGGACATCATAGTGTCTCCGTAAAATGGACAACAAATGAAATTCATGATTTTGATTTAGTTGAAGTGCTTGATGAATCCCGTGCTAACGAAGAATTAGATTGTTCATTTATGATATTTGGTGTCATAAGACAAAGCGATGAAACAGATAGTTACTATTTTAATTGTAAACCAAATCAATTTGTTACTATTGTTCTTGTACCTGAACATAGTCTTGATTATTTTAATATGACACTTTTTTCCAATACAAATTCGTCGGAAAAAATTGCGTCAAGTGATTCAATGAACTATATTAATTTTATTCAATTAGGATTAATGAATAATAACAATGGGACATTTCGTATTGATGTGAGTTTACATGAAATGCATCAATTTATTTTAGCGCATTCATATCGTTTGATTGTTACTGGTTCACACGACTTACTGGATTTAAAAGAAGAAGAAAATAACATAAAAGGACCTCATATTATTACATGTTAAAGTGAACTTTTTTTCATCTGAAGTTTTCTAAAGAACAGTCATATTTATTACTGACAATAAAAATAATAGATGAAATAGAATAACCAAATTCTCAGATATTGTTGTTTAATTTAGTTATGATGTATTGTGTTTCATTAACGTTAAGAAGAAAATACTATCAAAATGTTCTATTGCATGTACAGTAAAATAATCGATTATGATAATGAGCTAGTACTTCTTAATCATGCAATTTTATCTGTAACAACTATCTTTCCTCATCAAGCAATCATGTACTAATCGTGAACAAGGTGTTCTGATAGTCAGTACATATTCGCATGTTTTAAAGCTTTTTATAACACTTAAGCCGCGAAGAGCAAGCGTACCTTTGTAGTTCTGAAGTACACAAGTATGTTTTTCTTTCCCTTGCTATGGTGTCATACCTGACGCTCAATATTCAATCATTACAAGCTTGTGAGTGCTTCAATCAGTTTGCTCACTAAAAAATTACTTGATAATTTGACTTTGAACTTCTTCATATTTTCCATAATGTTTTTTTCAATCTAACTTATTCATTCCAAAAAATACTCAATGTCTACGATAGACGAGCCTCAAATCTGCTAAAAGCGTTACTTCTTCACCAGTTTGTTCTAGACTCTGATTGATGATTTTTTTTCTATTCAAATAAACGAACTCATATCAACTGTATACAGCCATCTCTCTTGCAGATATTATTCACATCTGAACTTCAACTCCTTCCATTATGATTAGGCAGAAAATGCTAGTAGACATCGCCGGAGAATATGAGATTTTGTGAAATCACATCGATGGTATTTCTGTAGAGCATGTTTCTGTTTCTATCACGTCAATTAAATGGCCTAGATAAGATCGACGATTTACTGTTTATTCGACACTTTCATCTTCTCGAAGTACGTATATATGTACAAAGTCGAAATGAATCTATGGATGTAATTTTTACTAGAATCTGAGCATGTTCTAATGCTTTATATCAACACTAAATTAGGAATGTGATCACGATTGTCAAACTAGTACTTGGTTATCAGCAGTCTATTCAATTCCAAACATTAAAGGAAACGAGTCGACGAGCTGAACAAAAAAAAATGAGATCGTTTCGTAGGAAAGAATATACAGAGACGATGAATTTTCGCATGACTAATATCGTTTGTGCTATATTGACTGAATAAGAATCATAATCCCATCTGAATTGTTGGAATTATTCTTCGCTACTATCATCAACCCAGAAAAGGTAATGATGGAGAAAAAAAAACACTTTTGTTGCTCAGTGAAACGAAAAACTTTCTATTGATTCTCTTTGGAACAACCATTTATAATGTCGACTCTGTTTTAAGAATTATGCAAAGGCTGTTACAAATTGGTCAAATCAATCATCCGCAAGAGTGCAACGATTCTCAAGCCTGTCATATTTGACGACATTCTTGTTTTTTATTCTTTGATAGTCATTGATGAATAGTTGTAATTTCGTTTTCGATAGTATTTCAAAATAGTTCTTGTTAGCGAAGATTTGAAATTGTTACATTTGTACATGAAGATCTATTATGTTTTTGATCAATTGTGTCATATTTCGGAATATTTTCTGAATAAAATCAAGCTCAAATGTTGAGCATCGATTGACATTATGAACACATATTCGTGCTCTTTGTTTCTGTCGTCCTTCGGTGTTATTATAGGATTCGAATAAAAAACATCTTCTTGATTAAGTGAAGAGTATTGCTGAGGTCGCTAATTGGCCAAACAACGAACTTGCTCAAAGATACAAAACTCGGTGGAGAAGCACATTTTTGAACCGTTCTGTCGACTTTGACTGAGAGTACGCGGGTGCTTGCCGATGAGTCTTATTTTCGGTAGCGCTCACAGTTTTACACCTACACCAGACCTGGACCATTTATACTTACACAAACCCTCAACACTGATGCTTGCCAAAATCCAATATCGTAATCACCCACACCTTTACAGCATTTTCAAAATCTTTTCAAGCTCATTAATTGGGATTTAATGCTATCTATTAGTTTTCCGAAAACTGATTTTTTTCCACTTTATTGTGAAGGCAGCATATTGAGTACAAAAGGCATGATGGTCCATTAAGAGAGATGCAGTGCGAATCTGGTAGCTAACCAATCGACATTTCATAAGTCACGTCTGCATTGATGGACGAAAATAAGTTTTTTCTATATGATCATTTAAGTATTATAAAACCCTTCTGATTTTTTTGATTTCGGGAAATCCATCTTGTTTCCAGAAAGTCATCGAGTTTCTTAGAAACTCGTATGAAGCATCATATGACACTCTTCTTATCAACGACTTGTTTAATATTTTTTTGCACTGATTTATTATCTGTTTTTTTTTCATCATACAAGCACAAGATAAGTAACAAAAACTCATTGATCAACTGCGAATTGAACATAAAAGGATTACTATTAAAAATTGTCATTAAGACTACCAAAAAAAAGTCACTTTTTGAAAGGACATATTAGAAGACCCCTCTGTAACTTGTAAACGAAAAGACAGAATAGAAGACTCAGGTCTTTTAATATGTCAGGAATCTTAGATATCATTCAACTGATTCAATCGATAATAAATATTGTTACAAATGTAATATGATAGACTTTTAAATACGTATTAATTACGTTCGAACATCATGAATTATTGCTAGTGGATAACGAAAAATTAGACGAGAAGAAAACTATTATATACACAATACTCCACATGCATGCAATAGAAGTAGTTATAACATATGGAGTTAGCTAATATTTACAGAGGCAAGGATCCTGGTAACTTCATATGGTTCGAATGTCGATACTTGGAAAAAAACAGAAGCAAATTATCGTTATCATTGCAATAGTATGCTTTGATTTACTTTTGCTTTTCAAAATGCTAAACAATATTCTGAAATTTTTATTGAATTTAAGTATGTTGATGACAGAAAATTGACTTTTAGTAACGAGCTGAAAACTAATTGTTGTAAGAGGAAACTAATTTATAACGATTCGAAACTAATAAATATCATGGCAATCTAAATCTATTTGCATTGTAAAAATTTTTCCTATACATTTTATGATTCTTATTGCAGAAGAAATCATTTGTTTACATCTTCTACAAACAATTCTATTGAATGATTACTTACCAAATTCATTCCAATAAGACTATAAACTCAAATATATTCAATGTTTGGCGAAAAATTTAGCTTATGAAGATTCGACATCGTGACAATTATAGCATAATATGGCATAAAGATGAAAGCATTCTTTTCTCATTGAACCAAGGTTTTATTGATGTTATTATGATGTATTTTTTAAACATGATCTGCTCAATGAATGATAAAATTCGAATGAAAGTACAAGAACAATTAGTTACAAGTAGTTATATTTAAAAAAAAGCAAATAAGATTAGTTTTTGATTATCGTTCTATTAAAATCAGAGATTAATGCTTTTTATGAGCTGGTGGTGGTGGTGGATAGTAACCAGGTCGACCGCCAATATAACCATCTTTGTTTAAATCAATGTGTGTTGCTTTTTCAATTTTACCAACTAAACCTATCAATGAGAAAAATCATTAAGTTATACTTTGAAGTTGGCTTTTGTTTTACCTCCATCCGGTGGTGGTCGATATCCACCAACAATTCCATCATGATTAAAGTCTACATGAGTAGCTGCTTCCATCTTTGAAGTCAATCCAGGTCCTCCAATTTTCCCATCTCCATTTAAGTCAACACCAAGTTTTTCTTCTAATTTTCTTGTAAGAAAACCTTTACAAAAAAATTAAAATAAATCTGCTATTTTATACTTTAAAACATACTCATATTTATTTTTTGTTTCGTTTAATCAAGATGTTTTGATTCACTGAATTTGTATGCGTAATAACACTAATTTTCTATTCATACGTCTCTTTTATAGTTATGTACTGCGAAGAAACATAAATGAGTCACATGATTTTTTTATAGTACATAATACCTACAGTATTACATACATCGATTACCTATGAATCATGTTTCAAGACCAATCAAAAAAATTTGATCGAACGCAATCAAACAAACCTATAGGACAAAAAAAGAACGATCAATCTATAATTTTATCTTTGAATTCACTGGAAACTTGATTGATGGAGGCTACTTTGACAATATTGAAATTTGTGATTCAAACAGATATGATTTTTATATATAAAATAATGTAAAAGCTTTTTATGACTAGTGTATTGCAATCAGACTGGGTAACCGACATCGGTCCCCACTCGAAGCATAGATACGAATGCAAATTTGGTGGATTGACTAAAATCCTAGGTATCATCTCATATCCATAAGTCATGGAAGTGCAAGACAATATTGTCTTAATAAAAGAATTTGTTTTTAATGAAAATTCATCCACAGATGATGATGATGATGAACTATATAACAAAATAACTGAATTCATGGAGCGGAAAATGAACGATTGAAAAGGTGAATATAGATTATCGTACTAAATAAAACATTCATGTATGGATCCTCAATCATGTCGTTTGGTCCCGACATTGCGTTACATTTTAGCTTCGTCAGACACAAGTAAATACATACTTAGCGAAATCTATTGGATTTTAAAAGCAGAAAGACATGAAGTAAATTTTGAATCAGTTAATTCGCTTGTTTTTTTGTGAAATTGTGAATGATCTCTGGTTTTTTGTTGCTGTTCATGGACGAAACTAAATAATATACTTTTCCATATAAAATGAAAGTTCTGTACTGTGACTTTAAAACACTCTGCGAGATATCAATTAGTTCTAATTCGGGTTTGAGTATAAAGAAGTGTCTGTCAGGGTAACGCTACAAAAAGTCAAACCTGCGCAGGACATTATTCATGGCATTGAGAATTCAAAAAAACTCAGAGATATTTCTTGTTGAGAATGAAAAAAATATCTTTAATATTAGAATAGATCTTTCTTAAAAACTCTAATTCAATACTTTCTTGACTATCTTTTCTTTTTTTTTTTATATAAAATAAAAAACAACAATCATAGACAAAAACAAACAAGAAAAGTCAAACGCACATACTTTGGAAGTTTTTGTTTGTTTTATATATATGAGAAATGAATAAAAACATATAACACTTTTATCAGTAAACAAAAAAAGAAAACAATAATGATCGAATTTTTGTAAAAACGCGAATAAATTGTGTCGTTGTTTCGTTTTTTAAAAGCAAAAAAGAACGCGTTCAATCTATTGCATTCTAATATACTAAAATAAGTATCTGAGAGATGTGTTTCTTCTTCTTTTGTTTTTTCCTTCTACAAATATCTTTCATTCAATCAAGACGACGTAAATTTTTCAAAGCACATTTAGCTGCTGCATTTTTTGCTATTCGATAATTTCGTCCAACACCTTTAAAACGTCCTTTACCAATTATTTCAACTGTAACACGTATTCGACCATCAAGTAAACGTTCAGGTTTTTCAAATTTTACTGTTTCAGGTTCAAGTTCAAGTAATTCACGTATTGGTGATTTTGGAACTTTAGTTGTAAATTTTTCAATAAAAGGTTTTAACATACGATAATATATTTTCCATACTGTATTAAATGATTTATTTGAATCAAGAAATATTGCACCAGCAACAGACTCAAATATATCACCAAGACATTTTGGAACTTCTGTTTCTTCCCATTCATCTGCTTCAGTAGTTGATTCATCATTTTGTTCATCATGTGAATTTGAAAGATGTTCATCATCAATTGTACATGATGTTATTGTATTACTATATGTATCTTTATTATTCGATGCTGATGATGTTAAAAAATCATAATAAAAAAATTCATCATTTTCATCGTCATCATCACCTAAATTACATTCATCAAAACCACACCATGTTGATTTATCTTTTTGTGTTTGAACAAATTTATCAATTAAAAGAAATAATTCATTTGAATGACAACGAAAATATTTATGATAGTCATATTTAACAGCTATATATGCAAAGATATTATTATTGACTAGAGCAGAACGAAGATCTGTTAATTCACCGGGTGAATGACGTTTAGGATGCTAAAAAAAACATGTTTGTTTCTTTCTATAGAAAAATAAGAAAAGATTTGTTGATAAACTAACTTCATATAGATAACGAGTTATAACATAATCAAGTACAGCATCACCAAGAAATTCTAAACGTTGATAACAATCTGTTATTGTATTATAAGAATAAGAAGCATGAGTGAATGCTTGAATGAGATAAGCTCGTTGATGAAAACGATAACCAATTAATTGTTCAAATCGATCGAAATCATAAGATTGAATTGTTGATAGAACTGATGGATTACAATAGTCAACGGGTGATGGTAATGGTGGAAGTTCACCAGTCATTTCTGTTCCATCCTCTGAAAAATAATACATCAATAAAGATACTTATAGATACTAATCGATATTTTTTTTTAAACAAAAGTATTTCGTGAGAGATAACGTTCCCTATTCTATTGTAGTGAGCGATAGGACCACAGGGATACTTTTATTGATATAAAGTAATCATCATGGATTTAAATCAGTTCTAAAAGCCAAGAGGCTAGGATATATGGAACAAAGATTTGTGTGAAGTCACTTGGACATGTGGATATTAGTACATTCATACTGACTCGAGTTTTAGAGGTTCAAGTATTTAGGATTTCTAAATGACTAAAATTTGTTGTCTGACCTTTATGTCAATGATAATTTACAATTTTTGAAATTCTTAAATACATACCAAATTATCATTGATTTTCTAATCGAATTATTTTATTTAAAAAAAAGATTATTTAGCTATTCTTGATTATGATTCAATTATTATTATGAAATATCATTAGATCTATAAAAGAGAAATACTTTTCAATACTCATAGAAGTGATTGATATTGAATAAATTGATCAAATGATAGGGGAACTAATATAAACATATTTTTCTGTTTATTTTCTTTTTCTAAAATATACATGGATATTATCTACTACTCAACTGATATTTCTCCCTTCCATATGTCGCTAAGATTCTTATATTCATTATTTCAGTCTACTAAACTATTTCATTAACTTTTCTTTTTCCAAAACAAAAATAAAAGAATTTCTTTTATAAGATTAAATGTACGGATTAGTATTAGTTCTGTTTTCTTCTATGTTTTTTATATGTATGAATTCATGTGCAAGAATAGTTTAAGAATAGATTAACGAACCGAGTCGAAGTTTAGGAAATATTCGTATTCCAAGCCAAGCCATAAATCGAAGAGCAGCTTTGGGCCCACTAGCAATCAAATAAGCTCCAATTAAAGCTTCAACTGCATCTGCAATACTTTTATCTGATATTAAATGTTGTGTACGACGATCATACGATGGAGTCCATTGTTGTTCATTGATTGATATTTTTGTTGAAAAATTAGGTGTCGTTTGATTATTTAACATTGTAATTGATGATGTTGGTACTGATGGTGATGATTGTAGATTATTTTTTGCTAATCTTCGTTGTTCACGACGTTCTTGTAATTCAATCCAATCGACACTTGTTGTCGATTCAGATTTTGTCCATAATTCTACACCTGAACTTGATAATAAACCATATTCATTTGGTGATCCCGATGTAAACAAAGGTCTAATTAAAAAAGCAAATAATATAAAGAAAAAAAATTGTTTTTTTTTTCCGTTTCAAAAACTTACGGAATCCAATTTTCAAATGGTTCAAATTTCGTACTAATTAAATATTCTCCTAATAATTTTCGTTTACCAAGTTTATATAAATTATAATTTGAAACAATTTTCGAACGAAAAAAACTTAATTTTCCTTCATGTACTTGTGTATATGTACAATAAATATAAACTGTAACAGCTTGTTTAAGAAATGAATCACCAACTGTTTCAAGTCGTTCAAGATCAAAACCATCACCAGCATTTGATAATGTTAAAGCTTGTAAAAGTAATGCTGGTGATGGACCAGGATGAGATTCAGGTAAATATTCAAAATCTAAATTTATATTTAATGGTTCAGAAAAATCATCAATTATGCCACTATCATGTCCATTTTCTAATACAAGAGTATTATTTGTTTGAAATGAAATTGAAGAATGATTTGATGGTAATGGTGATGAATGTTTTAATTCTTTTTCTTTTTCTTTTTCTTTTTCATCATCATCATCATCATCATCATCGTCATGTAGAACTTCTTCAATATTTAATAGACGTTTAATGATTGGAGTTGGTTCAAAATGAATAACAGAAGAAATAGGTGATTGATAAATTTGTGTTGGTTCTTCAATTTGAACATTAGTTAAATAATTTGATTTATCATTAATTAATTTTTTAGAATTATTTGTTGTTAATTCAATCGAAGAAAAAAGATCAATTTCATCTTGTTTAGTTAAATCAATTGTTGGTTGTGTATTAGCCATGAGTTTCGAAAGAAATTTTTTTGATTTTGTTTTAAGATCTTCATGTAAACGTGGTAAATCAATATGATAATTGGTTACTTTGGTTTCTGTTAAAGAATTTTTTTCTTGTTTTTTACGATTTAATGATCTTAATGTATTGTTTTGTTTTATATATTCATCATCATCATCGTCATCTTCATCATCGTCTGATGATGATTCATTTAATTGTTGTTGTGGAACAGTTGACCAAGCTACAGATGGATAAATAAAAAATTAAATATTCGATTAAGATAAAGAATATATACTTGATATAGGTTGACCACTTTGTTGTGAAAGAGGAGGAGGAATAGAAGGAGATGTATGTTGATCTTCTTCTTCATCATATTCAAGATCCATATCATCATCAAAATCACCATCTTCAAACTAAATTTGTAAAAAACAAAAAAAAAAAATAGAAACTACAGCTCCTCTTATTGTTCCTAAGAGAGAAATTTAACAGAGAAAGTTTATTAAACAAAAATTCGAAGAATGATTTATGTAAGATTCATTTCTAATCGATCCTTCTAGAATTCATGAATCGTGATGTATAAGTACACAAAGAAATTTATTAAAAAAAATCAAACTTATTCCGACTTAGCTTTTCCTTTATACCGATAAGCAATCTTTATTGCTTGCGTTTCCTCAGTCCTTCTACTCTCTTTAATCCAAAGACACTTAAATAATTAAAAGCATCAGAATCGTTGATAGCTGCAGAGGAACATTTAACTCAAGATAATTTAAATTTCTCGTAAACTTATGAGTAGACATATAGATTCATAAAAGTGGAAGGATAAACATCCATATTGCTTCGGCCATATTCAGAGCTTAAGGATAAGAGTGAGAATCATACTTAATACAATATTTACATCTGATTGTAGTCAATTTCAGACGTTTTGTTATTCTGCATGAGAGTTTTAACAAAATATCTACCATAGACTAACTGCCTTAGATTCAAATTGAAAATTTAATCAATCTTTTTTTGATTTGAGCTTATTAAAAGTTTTCTAATTAGAAACTTCGAAACAATTTTCAAAGTACATAGTATGAAGTAATTCACTTATTTTTGTATATCCTTCTTTTATGAATCTTTATATAGATATGAGCAAAATCAGTAATTCGAACTGAAAAAAATCTTCGATCAAATATCATTTTTTTTAATTCTATAAGAAAACAAATTTCTCAATAACTTATTATTTAATTACTTACATCAGCAGCATTAATCATAATACAACGATCTTTAGCTTCAAGCCATGCTGAATCATCTAAACAAAAATAATATAAAAATTCATTTAAATCGTTGTTTTTTTTATTTCATATACTTGTCCAATTATGTATATCATTTTCATTCCAAACACTAATTTCAAAATTCCAATTTGGATCAATTGGTTCATCTGTAAAATATGTATCATTATTATCTAATAAAGCTGAAAATTGTGCTTCTTTTTTTTCATCCCAATCAAAACCTAATTTATCAAATTGACCATCTTCTGGTGCCCATGCAACACCAACACCTGTTTCTAATGCAACTGTTCTTCTTAATTGTTCAACTAATATTAAACAATTAATTCTATAAAGCATACTAGGTAATGCTATAATTCCTTGCCATAATTGTGAATTAATTGGATGTATTATAACTAATTCTGGTATTAAAAAAACTCCCTGATGATGATGGTGATGATGATGATGTGTTGAACCATTTGGTTTCGTATGTTGATTTGTACGATTTGTATTTCGATTTCCATTTGTTGATTTCATTGTTTTAAAATTCATATAACGTGGAATTAATTGATTCATACGATGTGATGTATGTGATACACATAATAATGGTTGAGTTTTATTTGTTAAACGTAATTCATATTTTATTTCATAATATGATGAAAATGTATCATATATTGTTGATATAGATGGAAATGATGATAATGGATTTTTATTTGTATCAATAGAATTAACAATATAATATTGTGGTTGTGTTGAACGACGATATGATGGTAAAACAATACACGTTTGATTAAAATCATTAGCATTAAATATATATGGATTATCTAGAGTATATTTTTGTAGAAACATTGATTGAATAAATGTAATTATATCTTTTGTTAATTTCCAATCAATTGTATATAAACCTGATGGATCTTTTTTTAATAAAATAATAACTAAATGTGATTGAGTTTGTTCAGGATTAAAATTAACTAATGGACGATCAAATCCAAGTATAGAAGAAAATAAATAATAATGAACAGTTTGTAACATTCGATATTCATCTGATGAAAAATGAATATTTTTCATAATCATTTCAAGATTATAAGTTTCTTCACCGGCACGAGAAAATAATGAAAATGCTGGAATCTACAAAAACAAAAAAAAAACATTTTTGTTTTTTTTTCTTAGTAGAAAATCTTCATTGATTTTTTGTGTTTCATTTACTTCAAGAAGATAATTTGCTGATAAGAGACCAATTCGACTTGGATTAGATTCATGTGTATAAATAATTGTTGATTTTTGTTGTTCATTAGGCTGAATTAATGGTGTTGTTAATTCACCATTGATACAATAAACAAAAAAATCTGAAGAATTATATGTTGAAATTGGTTCAGGCATAATCTATAAATAAGACGAAGAAAAATTCATATTGATTTAAAAAATAGTTAAAACACTTATACAGCTTTATTATAAAGTTGTTTACGTTGAATTGAGCCAGGTTTTGGATTTGGTTCAAAATAGGAACCCCATTCAGTAAAATCATCATCGTCAATAGTTGAATGACGAAGATAAAATTGTTCACGTGTTTCAGGTAGTAAAAATTCATTCAATTCACCTAAACATAAAAAAAGAAAGATTAAGTTTTATAGATTAAGAAATAGATTTTAATACTAACCTGCTTGTAAAAGATGTTCACAAAGACGTTTAGCTGAAGAAAGTTTTGCTTGTTTAACTGTTGAACGAATAGGGCCCTAGGAAGACAAAAAAACATTTTAATAAGCAAAAAAAAACGAATTTAAACAAAGAATAAAACTCATACAGTGATTGTTGTTCTTGCTGGTGAATTCACAGGTAATGAGAGAATACATTGATATTGTTCATGATCAAGTTTTTTTATTTCACATGATGGAACTAGTGTTGTTAAAGCATCACATGGAAGTCGAGCACAGTATCTAAGATAATCAAGAGTCGATTTAGATGAATGAATAGTAAAAAAAACATAATAATAAGATTTACCTGTTTATTACTTCAATAGCATTTGGCATTCGTTCACGTTCGATAGTTGTTGATGAAAGAGAATTATTGATCTCTTGAAAATCTTTTGTTAAAACCTTGTATAAAAACAAGAAGTAAATTTGATTGAAAAAAATTTTATTATCGAACGAATTTTGTTTATTGTAACTTTTCTAAAGATTTTTCTCAATCTTAAAGATTCAATCTCATTTAAACTCTTTGTTCAAATTTAAAGATGTGTACAAGATAAGCTTTTTCCATACCGTGTACCCTGATTGACAAGAAAATATTTATAAGTGTTACATTGCGTTTGAGCTGAGACTATCTATGTACATCCTATAGATTATAAAAAGCTATGAATATTCTGAAAAAAGTTTGGACTAATCTATTCCAAGATACATCTATGATGAAAGTACGTTTTTCGTGCCGCTGATATACAACAGCTAAATCTGATCTTCTTATTTAAAAATCAATACAATCGACAAATCTGAAACTTTCACAATAAGATCATAGTATTCTGCTAAAAGATACGGTATAAATATAGTATGTCAACAACAATAACCAATTAGGTCAAACTTGTTTCAGGATATGAATAGCTCATTAGAATCTATATGACACATGTAGTCTCGACTTAATAATAAGAAACGTCTCCTTGTTAGAGAAATTTTCTAAACATTATCTTATCCTGTATGTCTGCATATCTCTATTTAATAGTAACATTCTATTCTTTTGAAAAAAAAACAAAAACAAACAGTGCATGTCTATATTCTTTGTTGTCGTAATGATGTTTGATCTGTGAATTCATATCAATATAGCCTACCTGTTCAATGCCTTTATATGAATTAAGATTTGTTAGAAATGTATCATATTCGTCTTGTTCAACAAGCATGTAAAAATGTGGTGTTTGAGCTCGTGCTTTGCCCTATAGTATTTTCAATTGCTAAGAAATAAATCATATAAGAAAAAAAAAATTTACTTTTGATTGCATATACGATCGATAATTAGTCGGTACATTAAATCGAATAACTAAATTACAATCTGGTATATCTTTTAATTCTTCGAGAGAACTCAATGCAACAATAATATTATTTTCACCAAGTCGAAATTTACGCATTACTTCTTCCTAAAATCAATATGGAAACATTTAAAATATTATTAATAAAAATTTATTATTTATGTTTTTTATTGTTATACTTGTTTTCGACTATCCATCGGCTGAATATGTTGACTAGCCGATAAATCATCTGTTGGTTGCATTGTTGAATATCCAATTAAAAAATTGGGCCGAATAAATGAATATTCATCAGCAAAACGTTTTGTTACATCTTTTAGTAGAGCATTAAGTACAGCTGTTTCTTGTTTACGATCAACAAATATAATTGCTGACCAACGACGAGTATGTACATTGGTTGCATCCGATTGAAAACGTTTTAATATATCAAATAATGAACGTAATTTTGATGTTGTATATTGTTCAAATAATGTATGAGAATCAAGTGTTTCAATAACAGTTTTAATACGTGATCTCCAAAGACGAAGTAATGTACAAGTCCAATCAAGAAATAATGAATATGCACGTGGTGATGAGAGAGAAAGATGAGATGAAGAAAAAGTCGAGGATAAGGAAGAAGATGTAACAGTATTTTGTTCAATAGCCATACTTGAAAGACGTTCTAATTGAGTTATGATTGGTAATGATGAACGAAGTAATGCCCAAATGCCTAGTTTATCAACAAGACGTAAACATTCCGTAAGTACTTGACGAGGAATAGTTAATGGTGATGGATTTTCGTCGGAATTAGTTGATGATGAGATTTGTGACGGTTCTAATTTATTTAAATAATCAAGAGCTTCATGAAGTTCCTTTAATGAACACAAAAAAAAACATAAATAATTCATGAAAACTAATATTCCAAACAATAAATATCCAGAAATCAAAAAGTTACTTATTGTAAGAGATATTAGAAAAATAAAATATGTCAACTTTCATATTCATCATAATCTCGTCTTTAAATTTATGTATATTACTTAAATAAAAAGTCACAGAATCTAACTGAATAATCTCAAACATAAATCAACAATCAGTTAAAGTATGCGTTGATTGTTTACTAACGAAAGAATCTCTTCAGCTGCTATAGATACTGCATAGTGTTCTAATAAAAACTTTAGAAGGATTACTGTTATTTTCGAATTTTGATTCAAACCTTTGCAAATAAGGAGAGCTCAACTAGGCTAGCTTGCGTAAAAGAATTCAAAAGTTTGAATTTTTCTTTACTGAAGTTAGTCTAGTTGATTTTTCTATATACATAATGTTTCAGATCAAAATTCGAAAATACGAATTTTCCGAAAACTAATGACCTTTAGAAATAAGACGTATTCAATAACTCCATGTCTTAGTTAAGTCTGAATAGAAACTAAAACCCTTGTAAGATTTTTATTCGAACACTAATTAGGATCCATAGAAAAGAAAAATCATTGAAATCTGAACGGAGTAGTTGAAGAAATTGTTATTATTAATATTCAATCTGGCTCTGGTTTCTATTTAGTTCTATGTCATAATATACAAAAAATACATTCGAATAGTTACTATGTCTAAGGTTTAAAAATCATTAGCGTTTTCAGCGAAAAAAAAGTAGTCTGAATCAGAGGGATGGAACTTTTTTGATTGTAGACGATAGAAAAATTTATCTTATATTGTGATCAACTCTGTTAGGCATCTAATATAATATCTTAATCAGTAAGAAGATTAAATATTGATATATTCGAAAATTCAAGATAAAATCAATTCTGAATGAAATATTGAAAAATTATTCATACTCGTATTATTTCAAGTGCAATATCAGGTTGTTTTTTATTATTATTTTTACACACAATAATTGTTTCTTTTGGTACTTTTGATAATCGATTCGATTGACGACAAATAAGATCCGTAGCAGTAAAAACAGTTGAGCTATAAAATTAGAAAAAAAAATAGAAATCTAATTTAAATCATTCATATAGAAGAAAACAAAAAACAAAAAACAAATTCATATACCAAAACAAATTATGTAAATTTTCAATACGTTCTTCAAGTTGTATTGGTGTACAATGTGTTTTAAGTAAAGCTGTAGTTATTGAAAAAAGACGAGGTAATTGAATATTATTATTATCCTTTCTAGTCCAAAGATTTTTATATTGTTTAAGAATAGATCCATATGCATGATCACGAATAGCCTGATGACATTCATCGAGAATTAATAATTTAATATGTGAAAATTCTATCTTATCAAAAATATTAAATTGAATCAAAATAAAAGTTTTTTGTTTTCTATTTACCTATATAATTTCGATTAAGTAATTCATGAAAAACAGTTGGATGCATAACTGATACAGAACGTATTTGCATTTCTTGTAACCATTGTTCTTTTTTCCATAGAAGTACTCCATGTTCAATACCAAATGATCCAACATCAACTGGTAAATGACGATGAATCATTTCAGCTAATGCAACAGGATCTTGTTCTATAAAAACAAAAAAAAACAAAGAAATTTTAAAAAATTTATACAAAAAATATAGTTTTATATTTTGTTTGTTTTATAATCATACCCATTGAAAGACAAATAATACGTTGACCACCTTCATCAAAATTTCGTTGAGTACCATATGAATATTCTCGTATAACATTAATAATAAGAAAATTTTTTGATGTATTACTATGTAGACAGACAACTGTATTTTCACGTTTGGCTTTATCAAGAACTTCGACCTAAAGAAAAAATATATATATACATATATACATAAACGAATAATCGATAAGATTCATTATGTTCGAATTTCAATCGTATAAGGCATAGACTTTAAGTTTCTACTAATATAGGACACACATGGAATTGTTTCAATAATAAAAATGTTTGTCAATTTTAATTTTAAATTTAAAATATTTTCTTTTCGATTCTAACAAATATTATTTGCAATAAAACCACAAAAGATCAATTTCATTCACGTCAAAGTAAGTCTTCAAGAAGACAAATATGAGAGATTAAATTGAGCTTCAGTAAAGCATGAAATCTCATCAAAATTTTATTGATACTAATAAAGATTTATTTGGACATTTTTGAATATGAAGGAATCTAGTTAGATATCACATTGCTTTTTGATCGAGACGATATTCATTTGATAAATGCTAGTAAGTAATAGAACCTTCTATGATGGTTTGGTTTTCTAAACCTTCGTTCTTAAGATATCTAAATGTCAATGGATTTTTTTTTGTCTCACTCAAGTCACATGAAAAATCGATTTTCGATTTCAAACTTTATATGGAGAAAGTTCTCGATGAGATAAATCAATTATGCAAGTTTTAACTTTCTAGAGATGCCAATATATGAATAAAATTTATTTTTACACATGAGAGAGAATTTCAAATATTCTATATCTTAGGATAAGAGACATTAGAAAAGTTAAAACCTGTACAAATACTTGATCTCGTTTAGGACTGTGTTTCCGCAAAGTTCAAAGTCGATTTTCCACGTGATCTGAGGGGAACGAAAAATCCAGTACAATTTCAATATCTCAAGAACAAAGGCTGGAAAACTAATCCAGTCTTGCTCTTTCTCTTACTTAATAATACTCATCACATAAACATCGTCGTGATCAAAAAGTAATTTGACACCTGGAGCGTTTCCCTCGACGTTTATGAATCATAAGTGACAGAACTTATTCATATCTATAGCAAATTGAAACTACTAATTCTTTTTCTTCATTGCATTTTTCCATGAACTTGAGATGCAATTTTAAACTTTAAATTATATTTATTTTTTCCGCATAATAAAATACACTTCTACATATGATTATTATTATTTGTCATTAGTGAAAAAGCATTTCGTCATTAAATAACTTTAACCATCTTTCATGTAATAAATGTCGTTCCATTTAATATGAATAGAACTTTCTTGAATGAATATAAAATTTTACTCACTTCATATTTCGGTAAAGTAAAACTTTCCGATGGTACATCATCTATCCATGGTGTACTTCGTATAGTTCTTCGTCCACTTGCAGCTAATAAATAAGTTTTGACTTTGTCTATATTATTCGTTGATGTCATTATATAAAAGTCTTAAATAATGTATATATATATATATGTTCAAACTAGAAGCAAGATAGAAAAAAAAGGGAAAAGAGAAACAACGATCATAACTTCTTGTTTTCTCCCAATTAAATTTGTCTTGATTTTTTTAAGCAGAAACAAAAAAATTTCAAATGTTTATATAAGAATTATACACAAAAAAAAAAAAAAAAGAAAAAACGAAAATTTTAATTTTTTGTTAAAAGTTTAATGATGATTGACCATTTGTAGTCGACGGTAATGATGATGATGAGGGTGGAATGACAAATATTTCATTTGAAATTTCATTTTGATGAACTTCAACTGATGTTATTGGGGGTGCAGGTGGTGGAGGAGGTAGATGATGTTGATAATGAGATGAACTACTTGTTGTTGTTGATGATTCATAGTTAAGAATTTCTCGATGTGCTTCACGAATATATTGACTTTGTTTATAATAAATTTTTGCTGTACCTTTCAGAACAATGAATGCAATACCACCCTTAAAACAGAAAATTTGTAAAATTAAAACAAATGATAATCTTTTTCATACTAAAAGTGTTCGTTGAAAATTTGAATGGACACGTTGAAACATAAATTTTCCAAATATCGTAGCAATTGTTGGTAATATAAGACCACCACAAATAAGTCTTGTTAATGATGCTGGATTAGAATTTCCACTACGTTCAGTTGGAACACGAGGTAAATAGGATGTATGTTCTAAAGTGGAATAAATTTTTATCATTAAAGAAAAGACAAAGAAACAATAGTCTCTTGTTTAATTTACCATTTGGAAATAAATAATTCATTAAAGGTAATTTTGATGAATGTTTACGCCAAAATTTTAATACAGCTTCTTCCCATCGTATCATTCGTCCAAGAATTAAAACAATTGGAATTGTTGGTAAACCAATAAGAAGAAAAAGTGGATCAGCTTTTTCCATTACACTTAAACCTTCTTTATGTCCAAGAATCTAAACATATTATTTTGTTTTATTTATTTATTTATAGAAATAAATATTCTCTACCTGCATGATTGTAACAGCACCATATGTAACTGCTGTCCAATAGACACTTCCAACAAGAATACCACCGGCAAGAAATGGACAAAAACGATTTAAAATACGTTCAATTAAATCAAGTGTATAAACTAATGGACCTAAAATAAAATCATTTTATATTATTATATAGATAAACATATTTTTTCTGTTACCTTGTTTTGGATATACAACAATGTATTCTGTATTGCATTGTGGACATGCAACTTTTACTAAATAGAATAAAAAAAAAATATAATTTTCCAAATACAAAAAGAAAGATTAACAAACCTCCAGTTGATCCTTGTTGTTTTTCATCAACCCATCTTTGAAGACATTCTTGATGAACCCATTTAGCTGTACCACGACAACGACATGGTGATACCCAACAAGCTGAAAAATCATCTTCATCTGTTGCAAAACAAACCCAACAATGTTTCCCAGGAAGACTACCACGTGATTGTATAGTATTTGTTAATGAAGTTCGATTACCATTTAATGGTGGTGGTGGTGGTAGTGGTGTTGGAGTAGAAATAGAATTATTTGTTCTTGGTACTACTGGTATATTTGATGATTGATTAGAGAGAAATGATGATGAATTAAAATTATCCATAGAGTACTTCTAAAACTAAAATTAGCTTTTTTTATGAATAGAACTTGATATTAAGAAATAAAAGAAACGAGAAAGTAAACACATGAGACATTCACTTTATTTTCGTTGGAGGAATTGATGATCCAGCTGAAGCTATTTGACTAATATTAAGATTCATATACTAATGCCATCTAGAGTTACATGTCATAAATTAACAGAAAATATTTCTTTTATTTCGTAAAAAATTAAAAGAAAGAACTAAAATCAAGCGTTTTGAGTTTTTTAATATAGTTTTATTTGACTTTGCTGTACCTTGATATATCCTAAATGTTAAATATGATCATCAGACGTTACAAAAAGAA